CTCCTCAGAAGGAAGGTTGGGCAATCCTACTTCCGTAGTGATACTGCCTCGGAAACCCAAGGAGGGGTCGCTATGAGTCAGGGCCGACTCGATGGCATATAACAACAAACAACAACAATTGTGATATGGAACAAAGTGATTTTCACTGTTAATAAATAAATTCACTCAATAAGTAATTACCTTCTTTATTTGTAAGATAAAGATTTAAACTTGATAATCACTAAATCTCATCTAGCTGTCACATCCTAGGATTACTGGATCATGTAAAGTTCAAAAGGTCTGGCTTTTACCATGATAAACACACATGTGTGATGGTTATATCTGAGCGATCATTAAAGATTAAATGTCCAAAAGCAATATGTTCCAAAGCATATTCTAAGATAGGAAAATTTTATGCTATTAGTTCTTATTTGGGGGAAATTTCCATGGCCAAGCAACTTAGGAAACAATGGATTAAAAAACAAACTTAAAACAGATTTCTTTATGGCAGGACATCGCCTAGCATTTGAAATACAAGTATACTTTATGAATATCTAAGAGGGGTATATATCCTTCCCAAATATTTTGCACTTGTAAGCATTTATTCAAAGAGCATTTAACAGGGACTTTTTGCCCTTGGAAATAACCAAGGAGCATTTAACAGGGCTAATATTCTATAGAGCACTTCACGGAAAACACTACTTTAGAGAAATGCTCTCTTGCCAAACTTGAAGGGGACAGCAGAAAATAAGAATACCATGGATTTCAACACACACATAGAAAGTAACTTTAAAAATTTGAAAATTGTTTCATTATAGTTATATAATAACTTTAAGTACTTTGTTCAAAAACAGTCTTTAAATGATGTTGAAAATGTATCGTGTCCATACCAAAAAGATAGACATCTGTTTCTCTTGGGCAGCATGTTTCAGGTCTGTGAAGGCTTCTCTTCCAAGTCCTCTATCAGGAACATTAAGAATATGAGCCAAAGCCAGGTCATTGTTTGAATTTACTAACAGGTTCAAATATGAATAGATAATTTTCTTGACTAGTAATTGCATCTGTACAATAAAATACACAATAAAATACCCAGTTATTTTCTTCATTAGTTATTTTAAATCTGTAATCTTTCTTACACATTTAGAAAAAATATGTATGATCATCCAATAACACCACCTCACTCTGGGAACAGAGAAACAGTATTTTGGAAAAACTGACATGGGCATCAAATCTTTCCTATTTATTGTACCTGTACTTCACACATAAACTATAAACCAGGGCATTTAATAATCTTTTTCTTAAAATTAGCTATTTAAAGTTACTCAAGGCTCTGCAACTTCTAGTGCCGCTTGAACAATTTCTCTTAGAAAGATCAGCACAAGGCCGGTCCCCACGAGGCAGAGGTTAAAGATGTCCCAAATGTCCAAACTTCTGTGTCATTCCATCATTTCCACTCCATCATTTTAGACATTAACTCCCCCTTCTCCTCTTAGTAATCTCCCTCCTGTCTTACAGTTCTGTATTTTGCCATAACAGCTCACAGAACTCACAGACACCCAAGGGATCATCTCATACAGTGGTGGTAGAGGCAAGGATGCCGACAGGCAGGCAAGTCCCAGGTCTGTAACAACACCTGGAAGATCCTCTTAATTCTCAGGGTTTGATGAATCTAAATCAGCAGATCAGGTGACTACTGCTGTCCTAAATCCAGGGCTGAGATGACGATGAGCCAAAACGCAGAACCGGAACAAGAGGAGGGCGAACCTTTCCAGAAGATTCCTATATATACTCTCAAGGAAGCTAGGGGTGGTGATTTGAGTAACCCCCAGCAAGGTGGGACTCAAGATATATCCCACCTGTTTTGGTTACTTTTGCTGCTTCAAAAGAAATACCCCAAGTGGCTGACTTTAAAAATCAGGAATTTAAAAGCAGCTACTCAGTTGGTCAAGGCAAATTCCACCAAAGAGTTGATTGTCAGTCATTATAGGAAATAACTATTACCTCTGCCCAGCCAAGTTGACACATGACCTTAACTACCACATCACCTTAAACAGGCATGCATAATAGGACTTATAAAATGGAGGATGATGGCTAGAAGGACCACATAAAGCAATTCACCTCAAGGACTGAGAAAAGCACTCTTGTGAACCCCCAAAGATAACAACTATAAAATATAGATAAAATATAAAGAACATATGGAAAGATATGAAAACATATAAAAAGCCAACAGAAGCTGGAGCAAAGTTTAATTTTAAAATAATTGCAATAATAAAGGTAAGATTGCAACTTGGATTCAGTTGATAGCGTGCAACTTCCTGTAAAATGGAGATGAAATGAGAGGTCATGTGAACTTCTGTGGATAACAAACATGAAATATTACATTAAAAGTTTTTTAATTATTTAAGTATACTGGAAAGCATCCAAAAAGGAGACAAAAACGAGAAAAGTTCCATTTTAAAAGAAATGCAACACTACAGCGATTCCTTAAAAAGTTGGAATTAGAAATACCATTTGACCCAGCCATTCCATTACTAGGTATATATCCTAAAGAAATGAGAGCCAGGACAAGAACAGATATATGCACACCCATGTTCATCACAGCACTATTTACAATAGTCAAAAGATGGAAACAACCTAGGTGCCCATCAACAGAAGAATGGATAACCAAACTATGGTACATACACACAGTGGAATACTATGCAATCCTAAAGAATAACATAGAATCAGTAAAACACCACATAATATACATGAACATGGAGGACATTATGCTGAGTGAAATGAGTCAACCACAGAAGGACAAATATTGTATTAGTCCATTATTGTAGAAAGTCAAGGAAAGGTTTATCTATGGAAGGAAATTTTCTTTGTTGCTTTCCAGGGATGGAAGGGGAGGGGAGGGAACATTGTCAGACAGGTAGAGACAAGTACTGATTTGGGTGAAGAGAAAGGCAATATACCAAATGTGAGTGATCAACATGGTTGCACTGAGGAAGAGGAAGACACAGAGAGGTGCATGGGAGGTACAGACAACAAAGATAAACCCTTTTGCACATACAGTGCTGCATTGTTAGCAAAGGCAAACATTGATCTACAGGTGGGATGGGTGGGTAGGCTGAACTATTAGGTATGTCTACGCAGGGGGAGTGTGCCCATGACCATGAATAGCGTTGGAAGATGATGTTTCTATAAGTGTATTTGTATGTTCTGTAAGAATTCCCAGGTATATAGTAGAGCTGACAAGGGACAAGGTTGTAGTCACTTCTTGGCCACAGCCAGCTACCCAGAGGAAGCGAGTTGTTGGACCTGTGGGCTCAGGACCATGGTCACAGGGGACATCAAGCTCAACCAGCATAAAATAATACACAAAAACATTGTTCCACATCCTACTCTGGCAAGTAGCAACTGGGATCTTAAAAGCTTTCAAGCGGCCATCTAGATGCAACGATGTGTCTCTCCTCATCCAGAGCAAAGAAGAATGAAGAAAACCAAAGACACATGGAAACAATTAGTCCAAGTGACTGGTATACCATGTGATCCTCAGCCTATATGACCATGAGACCAGAAGAACTAGATGGTACCCAGCTACCACTGTCAACCAGTCTGAGCGGAATTGGTGTAGGAGATCCTGGATAGAGTGGAAGAACAATGTGGAACTAAACACAAAATCATTAAAAGAAAAAAAAGGGGACCAGTTATGGTGGCCTGATAGAGCTTGGTTGAACCACTGAGACTATGGCCCTTGGCTGCTCTTCAGGTCTGGAACTGAACCCACTCTTGTGGCTTCCAGACAAACAAAAGATAGGCATATGAGCTGAACATTTACATGAGGTAGATACACTCCTTGGAGGGATCAATCATGAGAGAATAGAAGGGCTGTGAATACACAGAGAGACAGCTCAGGGGGCAGGAGGGCATGGAGGGAAGGACATAGGGAAGAGGTAACTATGGGGAGGGGACTGATGCATTGTGGGAAATTGGTCAATGTCATGAGACAAAATGTATGTGAGCTGCTGTGTGGAAAGTGAATTTGCTCTGTAAACTTTCACCTAAATCACAGTAAAAAAATTTAAAAAAAAAGAAAAAAAGAACAGCAACAAGAGAGTATAAATGGAGTTTATAATTTTGCTGGGCATATGGTCTGCCTCTACTATTTCCAATCAGGTCACCTAAGCTGAGGCCTTAGGACCAGAAAATTCTCTGATAAAAAGAATGGTAACTGAGTCTCTGTATCTCTCTTCCTAGTCCCCTCTCTTCCTCCCTATTCTGGGGACACAAACTTTGTCTTGCGCATGTTAGGTACCACATAGCACCTAGGTAACTTCACCAGCTCCATGACTATGCTAACATCAAATAATGTACCCATGGGAAACAAAACCCTTGGTGATTTCTAACCTGCTGTATTATTAATCAGAAAATGCAGCCCTACAAAATTAATCCTGTAGCTAGAGGGAGAGGAATATTCTTTTTGGTTATGTACCTTGCTCACAGGATGGCTATGCTGTATGCACCTGAACAAAAGATACTCCCCAGTAAATGGGTGGCCAGATCAGGGGCATCTGAACAAAGGAGGCTTCCTTTACCCCTTTCCTTTTTCTCATACATGCCAACCACAAATATCCATCTGGTGTATATTATATAATCCCTCGGTTCCTTTATCCCTTTGTTGTCTCACCAAGGACATACCAAGAAGCATGAATGCATGAAACTAAACATATCACCCTCAAACGGAAGCCTTTTGGTAGAACCTGGCTCTTGATAAACCCTATTGCATTTAACATTGTCCTGTGACCACGTCAGTGAGTAGTGTGATTATTTGTTCTGATACAAAAAGCTGTCTGATTTACTTCACTCAGCACATTGTAACCTTACTGACCCAAACCAAACCAAACCACATTCACTACCATTGAATCAATTCCGACTCACAGAGACCCCACTGGGTTTCTGAGGTGGTAAATCTTTACAGAAGTAAATTGGCCTGTCTTTCATCTACAGAGCAGCTGGTGGGTTTGAACCGGTGACCTACCAATTAGCAGTCAAGTGCCTTATCCACTACGACACCAGAGCTCCAGTCAGAACATACATAGCCTAAAACCCTAGCTGATGGTAAACTACACAAGTATGAGAGAGACAGCAGGAAGCCCATCAAAAAAACAGGAAGATACGAGAATGAAAGATATTATAGAAAGCTTGAGCTATTAGAAACCAGAGCTATACAAAAGATGAAAACAACCTAGGTATCCATCAACTGAGGAATGAATAACCAAACTATGGTACATACACACAATGGAATACTATACAACCCTAAAGAATAACATAGAATCTGCAAAACACTGCACAATGTGTGTCAACTTGGAGGACATTATGCTAAGTGAAATAAACCAATCACAGGAGGACAAATATTGTATTAGTCCGTTATTGTAAAATTCAAGGAAAGGTTTATCTACGGAAGAAAATTTTCTTTGTTGGTTACCAAAGGTGGGAGAGGAGGGGAGGGAACACTGTTAGATAGGTAGAAATAAGTACTGATTTGGATGAAGAGAAGGGGATTGTACCAAATGTGAGTGATCAACATGGTGGCATTAAGGAAGAGGAAGACATAGAGAGGTACATGGGAGGTACAGACAACAAAGATGAACCCTTTTGCATATACAGTACTGCATCATCAGTGAAGGCAAACATGGGTATATGGGTGGATAGATGGGTGGACTGGGTGAACTATTAGATATGTCTATGCAGCAGGAAGTATGCCCAAGACCATGTATAGGGTTGGCAGACAATGGTTCTACAAGAGTATATGTATGTTCTGTAAGAATTCCCAGGTGTATAGTAGAGCTGACAAGGGACAAGTTTATAGTCACTTCTTGGTCACAGCCAGCTACCCAGAGGGAACAAGTAGTTGAACCTGTAGGCTCGGAACCACAGTCGCTGGGGACATCAAGCTCAACTGGCATAACATACTACATAAAACATTGTTCCACCTCCTTCTTTGGCAAGTAGTAACTGGGATCTTAAAAACTTGCAAGCAGCCATGTAGACGCAATGATGGGTCTCTCCTCATCCA